TCTTATGTTGACCATTTTACTATTTACTATTTACATTTTATATTTTATTGCTTAGTCATTTTCTTTTAATTACTCTAAAACGATGTGCACATAGCCACGCATCAAAATATGTTTGGTGAAAATATTCCTAGGATCTAGCTATTAGGTGGTATGTGGATTTGTCGATCACTACCCATTTTGTCTCTTTCTACAACTCATTGTATAAAGACTATGAACAACCATTAATGAAACAATAAGCTTCCTCTTTTTGGTTTTACAGAGCATTTTCTCTCCTTAAATTTTTTGTTTTCTTATCCTTTTTTATCATGGTATCAAAGCTTATCTAAGGATCTTGAGGAAACTTAGAAGCCTGCTACAACCTTGAACTCATTTCTAAAAACACTTCTTATTTTTCACTAAAAAAAAAAAGCAAAGTCTGCATCTATGGCATCTCCAAGTTACAACACAACAGCTCCACCTGTATTTGAAAAAGAGAACTATGCTATTTGGGCTATTAAAATGGAAGCCTACTTAAGGGTTTTTGATCTTTAGGATATTATGCATGTAGGTGGCAAACCTCTTATTATGAGGCATGCCAACCCCACTATAGCACAGCTCAAGCAACATAGTGAGGATGTTGCAAGGAGATATAAGGCACTTTCTTGTATCCATTCAGTTGTTACTAACTTCATTTTCACAAGAATTATGACTTGTACCTTAGTAAAAGAGGCTTGGGATCGTTTAAAGGAAAAGTTCCAAGGCAGCGAGTGGACCCAACAAATGCAAGCATTGAATCTTTATAAATAGTTTAAGATGTTGGTGATGAAGGAAGAAGAAACCATTAAGGAATATTCTGATAAGTTAATGAAGATTGTAAATCAACTAAGATTGATTGGAAAGGAGTTATCGATTACAGGATTATGAACAAAATGCTTATAATTCTTCCAAAGAAGTTTGAATCTAAAATAGCTTCTCTTGAAGATTCCAAGGATATTACACAGTTGACAGTCACTAAGCTTGTAAATGCAGTCCAAGCTCAAGAACAAATAAAGACCTTAAGACAAGAAGATTATGCATAAGAGGATTTTATGGCTAAAGCAAAGGGGAAATCTTACTCTGGTAAGAAGAAAATGACACTAAAAGGAAAGAAAAAAGAAAGAAACTAAATGACAAAAGACCAAGAAAGCCAAGGATTCAATATCCACCATGCTCTTATTGTAAAAAGAGAAACCATATTGAGAAGTTTTGGTGGTTTAGACTTAACGTGAAGTATGGATCTTATAACTAAATGGGGCATGTGGAAAAATTTTGTAAAGCTAAGGGTGTTGTCATTAAGGAAAAAGAAAAACTGTGATGGAAGAATACAATGAACAAGAAAAAGAAATTTTGTGTATGGTTTAGAAAGATGTTGTTGTAAAGCAATGGGATATCTAGGTTATTAATAGTGCTTGTTCGAGCCATATGACAAGTGATGATAGTTTTTACTACTCTGGACAAAGGTTACAAATCAGGGGTCAGGATTAGGAATGAAGACTACCTACAAATATTTGGCATTGGACCAATTAAAGCATAAACACTGTCTAAAATCAGGTATATTTTGCATGTTTTATTTTTTTTTTCCAAAGGTAAAAGAAAGCTTGTTAAGTGTTGGACAATTGCTCAAGCGTAATTTTGTGTTAATATTCAAAGATCTTAGCTGCACCATTTATGATTATTTGGGCAAAGAGTTATTTACTGTTCCAATGAAAAGCAAGTGCTTTCCACTTTACTGGAATGAAATGGGACATTACAATTATGCTTATGTTGTTGATGATAGTAAACTGTGGCACAAAAGGCTCTACCATATCAACTATAACTATCTTAAACTCATGTCATCTGAAAATCTTGTGAGTGGCCTTCCACAAGTCTCTGAACTTGATCATTTGTGTGATGCTTGCCTTAATGGAAAGCATAGCAAAATTCCATTTCCTAAGCAGAGCAAAACAAGAGCTACAAAGTGCCTTCAACTAGTGTATTCTGATGTTGAAGGTCCAATGAAAACACCTTTCTTGAATAGAAGTAAGTTTTACATTACCTTTATTGATGATTTTAGCATACATTACTGAATTTATTTTCTAAAATACAAGTCAAAAGTATTTGGTTATTTTATGAAATACAAAGCACTTGTCGAAAATGTGTCGAGCAAAGCCATCAAAATTTTGAGGACTAATAATGGCTTTAAGTATTCTTCATATGCATTTGAAAGGTTCCTATCTTTGAAAGGAATCAATCATCAATCAACAATTTCATATAATCCCCAACATAATGGGGTTTGCGAAAGAAAGAATCGAACCATAATGGAAATGACACGTTACCTGTTGTTTGAAAAGAAATTGCTTAAAAGGTTTTAGGCAAAAGTTGCACATGTATCAGCAATGTTGTTGAATATTACTCATACTAGAGCATTGAAAGAAAAGTCTCCTTATGAAGCTTGGTGCGGAACAAAGCTAACAGTATCTCATGTAAAGGTTTTTAGATGTATTAGCTATGCTCAAATAACTCAAGCCAAGAGATCTAAGGTTGATGCAAAATCACAGTTGGCAATTCACCTTCGATACAGTGTCAAATCAAAAGGTTACACATTATATAATATGGAAATTGGAAAAGTGTGTACTTACAAAGATGTGAAATTTGAAAAAGATCTAAGGTGGAATTGGGACAACAAAGAAATAGAGAATTCAAAAACGAAAGTATAGTTGGTGATGTTGAACTTGAAAATGAGAATCAAGTTGAAGAAAATGATGATTTTGCAGTAAAGGGTACTGAAAAATTGCAAGACATATATGAGAGGTGCCATGTGGTTATTCATGAACAAGTAACTTTCACTAAAGCTCAAGAGAGTAAATAATGGCAGTAAGTTATGAAAACAAAAATTGATATGATAAAAAAGAATGACAGCTAGATATTAGTGGATAGACCAAAGAATCAAAAGGTAATTGGGGTCAAATGGGTGTTTAGAATTAAACATAATGCTAATGGAACTATGAACAAATATAAAGCTTGACTAGTAGTGGAACGTACTTGTAGGTTTATGGAATTGACTACTTGAAGACTTTTGCTCCAGTAGCAAGGCATGATACTTTAAGATTGTTGGTGGCTTTATTTGCTAAAGAGAACTAGAAAATTTGGCATATGGATGCGAAGTCAGGATTTCTTAATGGATTATTGACTATAGATATCTTTACAGAGAAACTAAAGGGGTTTATTGAGATAGGCAAATAAGACAAGGTTTGTAAGCTAAACAAAGCCTTGTACAAGTTAAAGCAAGCACCAAGAATTTGGTATGAGAGGATTGATTCTCATCTTTGCAACAAAAGGGTTCATGAGAAGTGAATCTGAACATACTTTTTATGTAAAAAGTTCAAATGGGAAAGCTCTATTAATTGTCTCAATGTATGTTGATAAGCTACTCATAACTAAACCTTATAGTGAGATGTTGACACTATTCAGAAACCATATGTAGATGGAGTTTAATATGACTAATCTTAGTGAAATGACTTATTTCCTTGGTTTGGAATTCATTCAAGGAAAAAATTGCATCTTTATTCACCGAAACGAATACGCAAAAGATCTTCTGAAACATTTCAAAATGGAAGCATGCAAGGAAGTTTCAACTCCTTCTATTCCAAGCAACAAGCTATGTAAAGAAGATGGTCCTCCTAGTGTAGATAATTATAAGTACAGAAGCTTGATAGGTTGTTTGATGTATTTAACAACATTGAGGCCCAATATTATGCACACTATTAGTGTACTCACAAGGTATATGCAAGCTCCAACAGAAATTCATTTTTCTACAGCCAAAGGAGTGTTGAGATATCAACAAGGAACATTAAACTTGTAACGATCCAAGTCCAACCACTGACCCAGCAACTCTTTGGGCTTAAACCACGTAACCTTCAAAAATTTAAGCTCAAGTTGCTAGTAGTAGTAGACTTGAATTGTTATATAGGTCTTAACAATCTCATTCACATCAAATGTGAGATATTGAGTATCATTATTCCACTCATTCTCCAGTACAAATTATTTTGGATGGAAAGAAACAAAAAAGGCTTTGTTCAATTTGTAAGGAGAGAAAGTGATTTTTTTATCATCATTAAGCCTAAGCTCTTAATTCCTTTGACAAAACACGCAAATGATATTACAGCAAATGATATTACAGGTAGACCAAATGCAATGTGTGTTAAGTTTAACCTCTTTTTCGAACATCAATAGGACGTGAGAAATTAAGTTTTAAAAGGTATCAAATATAAACATATGTTTCTATCACCACACTTAATGTCTACACAAAATATATGCAATTTAAATAAATTTTTATTTATTATTATATTTACATGAAATTTTATATTTTTTATTTTAAATTAAATAAATTTTTATTATTAACCGTTAATGTGTTTCTATCACTATTCTCAATCTCTATGTGGAATACATGTAATTTAAATATATTTTTATTTTTTATTATATTTACATAAAATTTTATATTTTTTATTTTAAATTAAATAATTTTTTATTATTAATTAATTATAATTAATTAAAATATTATTTATAACTTGATATTAACGTATAAACATATCATATAACTGTGTTACGTCACATTAACATATAATATCACTATATATTAACATATAGTATCACTATATTTTTTACATAAAAATATAAAAATTTATATTAACATATCATACCAGTATTCATTATAACACATAACATGTTACAGTAACATCACATAACATATAATGACAAATAATATTGTAATTAACAATTATTTAACCATTAATAATTTAATAATTTATTTGATTCAAAATAAAAATATAAAAATTTATTTAAATGCATTAAAAAATAAAAATTAAATTAAATTTTCCTAGAAACTCTCTCTCTCTCTCAATCTGCTTAAGTTTAAACACGTCTCCCTAATTAAAAAGATCAATTATATACCTCTGATTGTGAAGAAGCATAAGATTAGGCAAGGCAGAGAAGGGGATAAAAAGTAACAGTAACAATAATGTCCATATCTCAAGAAAAACATTTAGCAATGCTGAGCTCATACATGAAAATGCAACATAATTTATTATCTGAGGCTTAACATTAAACCCAGAAAACTTTAATTTTCTGCAAATGAAGCATCTGAAACTTTCAGCAAAGTTTCAACAGGTCTCCCAGTAAAAATTGAACAAAAACAGATTTAAATACAACTGTGGTAAACTCATTCATGCCAGTAAACTGTATATCTATCTTTCTGTCAAAAAGCTAACTGAATATCTTTTGTACAAGACTAACGTCTTCATAACTGGATTCTTCATGTGCGATTCACAAAGTGAGATCCTATTTCCCACCCTTACCATAAGTATCCTTAAGCGTAACTGTACGGTTAAAGACAAGTTTTTCTGCAGTTGAATCCTTGTCCACAGTAAAATAGCCTGAAATTGCATAACAAGCATGACCAATTAACACACTATAATACACCATAAACTAACACACCGGTACACAACATTTTAACCTCCAGTAAAAGACACCAAGATTTATTACTCTCTATCACTCCATTAAATATTTATTACTTCCACCCCTGATAAAATGCAAAAGCCAAAATATATTATAAGAACTCAGCACTTGTATCATATTTGTTACAAGCGATTCTCCCCAGAGTATATTATTACAACTTGTCACTATGCTAAACTAAGAAGATGCCCATTATTAGACTGCATACACCAATATTATATAAATATTATGGTTTTACGTCATCCAAGAATTCATAAAGCACAGAATCACACAAGGTTTATGAAACATACCGAGCCTTTCAAACTGAAATGTATCCCCTACAGCAGCATCCCGAAGTGATGGTACTGCATATGCAGCAGGTACCACCACTTTGGAATCCGGGTTCAGATCAGCTAGCCAATCATCAAGCTCAGCAGGATTCTGATGAAATAATTGAAGTCCAAGTAGTTTATAAACATAGTGGCGGAAAGCAAGAAAAGAATTCAAAATTCCAAAATAAATATATGCCAACCTCAGAATTAAAGAGTTTGTCAAACAATCGAACTTCCACCTTCAATGGATCAGCCCCTCGGGAAGGTTCAGCAACCCAGTGAAGAACCCCCTGTGTGAAAATTTTCAAAAGGCTAAAGAATAAATACAGTCCGGAAAAGATAAATTGTACAACTCTTAAAGAATATCATTCACAAAGTTGGAAGTAATCAACAAATTCCAGTAGGATTTCAAATGGATAAACAAATAAAAACCTTTGGCTTGCTTTTTTTAGAAGGATCATACTCAGCTCGAATCTCAAGCACAGTCTCATTTTCATCTGCCAATATTACATCAGTGCACTTTATGGGGAATGCATACCTGCATAAATGGGAACCTGCAGCTATTCAACCCAAATCTGCAATAGGAAATTGACAACATATATATCTGTATGTGCGTGTGTGTGTACATAAACATACCTTAGCAGGACTGACTTGCCAGGAGCCAACCCATAGTAATCTTTAGAATCTTTCATCCGGAAATCTGTGCGCTCAATATATACAACATTTGAAAAAGGTACCTACAGTCAGCAGAAGAAGTGGTTACTGTCACAGACCGATATCAAACAATTGGGAGCAAAATAGGTTTCACATGAGCAGACAATGCTCAAAACCAGTCCAACATGATTCTGACAAAAAACGATGCAGATTATTCAAATTTAAAACAATCTAAAAGCATGTCACTCTTATTTATCCTCACCTTGTAAAAGGCAGATGTATCATTTGCTTGAGCATCAGGCCATTTCTTTGCACCAAGATCCATAACAGAGCCAGATTCGAGGTTGGTTATGACTACCTGAGAACACAAAGAAGATAAGGTAGACAGAAGAAAAAATGGTTTTTTTAAAGGAAGAGTTCAGACTAGAAAATGACCTTAAGTGGATGCAGCACAACCAATACACGAGGTGCTGTCTTGTTTAATTCTTCTCTAATGTGATACTCAAGGCGATCCAAACGAATCGTACTACAGTCACTGTAGCACAAAATGTTAAAACATTAATGAAGGAGTCAGCAATATGAAAAGCCAAGTTTGTCTGAAATGCATGTACATATAGTGCACCCCACAATAACTACACATAAAGAGTGATTTAGAATGTGTATTTTCAACCTTCTAGTGATTCCGATTCCTCGAACAAAAGTATTTATTGCAGTTGAAGTCACACCCCTACGCCGTAAACCAGCTAATGTCATGAGACGGGGATCATCCCAACCATCAACATATTTATTTGTCACAATGTAATTTAACTACAACATCACATCATAGTAGATAAATATTAGATTTATAACTTAAACAACTCAACAAAAATTTTCCATACAAAAACATTGATTTTGTTATACCTTCCGCTTAGACATCACAGTGTTTGTAACATTCAGCCGTGAGTATTCCCAAACATATGGCTGATAAAGGTCCAGGACATGTAGCAGCCAGTAGTATGAAGCACGCCTAGTCTCAAATTCAAGTGTACATAGCTAAAAAAAAAAAAAGAAGATGTTCAAGAATGAAATGGAACTTTAAAGTTAAAATAATTAAATGAACACAAAGTGTAAAGAACTCAATAAACTATATGTCATGCATGCCCTAGAAGACTGCATACTTTCAGAATTTTAAGTTTATTCAGTTTGTTGAATAAAAGAAAAACCTGAAAATCTTACATGTGAAACATTAGGTCCAGGAAGCAAGAAAAAATCTTACGAGTTGAAAAAAATTATAAGCATAAGCTGCTCAGCTATTGGGAAGACCAACATGCTTAGATTCCTCATGATTATTTATGAAGCCAAGAACAGTTGACTAAACGGAACAATTCCAGAATTTTGACAGGCGGGCAGTATACATTCCTACCATCCAAGTATAAGTCCAAAGGACAGGAAACATTCTCATTGCATGCCTTTTAAAAGTTAAAAGATAGACTGGTTAAAACTAAAAGGAAACTTATCCAAAACTGATCTTGAAAGTTGCAAAAATTAACAATAATAGCTAAAAAAAGAAAGATAACATACTGAATGTGTGATATTCTCAAGAGAGTCCACGATGCAGTGCGCATAATCATAGCTTGGATAAATGCACCACTTATCCCCTGCATGAGGGTGAGGAGTAAACTGGAGAGAGAGAGAGAGAGAGAGAGAGAGAGCAAGATAAGAGTATGTCAACAACAACGGCAGAAGGAAACTAAGTAATCAAACATATATAGGATATGACCTACCTTGATACGATAAGCAATGAGGTCATACATATTGAAATTATCACTCTGCATATCTTGCTTCATCCTGAGTGTTGCTTTGCCCTCTTCAATTAGACCTCTCTTCATGTCATCAAAAAGTTTTAATGACTCTGCAATTGGTCTTTCTCTCCAAGGGCTATTCATCTTCTTTTCCCTATACTCCTTTATTTCTTCGGGGGTCTGGCAGCAAGAGAACCAGCACATTGAGCATTTCCATGGATGCAAAAATTAAGTTCCAAACTAAAAGAAGATAGAGGCCTGTGCATTTTTTGCTCCAGGTTATGGATATTATCATGCATTAGAACCTGATGATCAACATATGCATGACCCCTTCGTATCAGCTCCACTGCTAACTCGTACAAATCTTGGAAATAATCACTGGTGTAAGTTATCTGCAAAAAAACCAACACAAATAGACATCAACCAAAAAATCTTTAATGGAAAACTTACATTATAATGTTGAGAAATGTTATACCTTGAATGGTTCCCAGCCCATCCACTTGACAATTTCTTCAATGTGATTAATATATTCTTTCTTTTCAGCTTCAGGATTTGTGTCATCATATCTAAAAATCCCAAAGATAAAATTAGAAAGAAACACATGCAACTGAAAACATCTCTAAGATTGGGATCCCCCCCATTACTCTTTTGTGGAGTACTCTTGAATCACACGCGTAATACCCACCCAAAAATTATGGAAGCCATAACTATGAATGGTAATTAAAGGTGTGTTGGAAAGTAATAGAAGGGAGCCCGATGCCATCACTAACCCATTTAAGTTGACAAAGCACATTCCACAAACACAAAGGAGGTCCATCAACTATTGAGATACATAAAACAAAGCAACAATTTATTGAAAAACTTTAGGTGCTAGCAGAAAAGAGCAAATCTCACCTCAGGTAGCAGCATCCACCCCTCTCTTTTGCAAGGCCAAAGTCAACAAACATTGCCTGAGTTATAGCATTAGGAACAACCATTGCAAAAAAAATAGTATTATCCATACAGTGCTTGTCACCTTTCTGAATGAATTATCAATAAAACTTACTTTTGCATGTCCAATGTGTAGATATCCATTTGGTTCAGGAGGGAAGCGGGTAAAAACTCTTCCCCCAGTCAACTTCAAGTGCTTGTCAAGCATTTCCTTTGTATTGCAACATCTTAGCACAGATCCATTGCTGAAAAATACTTCTGTGTGCACCTAATATCCACAAGAGAGTCACCATTTATTGGACAGTCCAGTGATTTTTCAATGAAAAGAGCACTATAGATCATGTAAACCCCTGCTTCAGTTCTCATCTTCTTTTCCCTTCTTTTATTCAATTTTCCAGTTCTAGTTCTCTAGAATTACGGATGCTAAGAGTCCATACAAACCAAAGTACTCTTTATACTTGAGGATATAGAATTATTATAAAAAAAATTTCAGCATTAGTGTTCTTGTGACTGAGGGATGCAATCAACTTCAGATGTAACTCCTACAGAACCCTGGGTTTGAGGCTTGGGGATTTCTCCAATCCACCATATATGTAACTCATGAGAAACCCTAGGTGTCAAGCTTAGGAATTTCTTCTCTTTTCTCCATTCAATTTTCCCTGTTATCCTAAACATTCATGTCAGAAAATTGCCTTAACCCTACCTTCCTTGCTATCCTTCATTATCACCGGACAAATAAACTTGACAAGGGCAATTATATACACCCTGAACTACTGATAACAAATGGAGGAAATGGCAACAATAACACTGAAACAAATAATGTTGTTCCTGAATCTTGAATGAACATAAGGCAAGAGAAGAAGAGAAACCCTTGGAAGACTAGTTTATTTATATACCTTGATATTGTCTTCTGGGGCAGGAAATATTGAAAATGGATTAAGTTCTTCTTCAGATGGCTCTGCAGGAGTATCATCAACAACAGCTTTTTTCTACACAAGGGCAATAAGCACAGAAGAGAAAAAAATTATTATCACAGACATGCATATGTAAATATGAAAAAACATGTACTGATTCTCACCTCAACTTTAGTAGGTTTTTCTTTCTTTTCCTTCTTTTTTGACGGCTTCTCATCATCTGCTGCAGTCCTCTCACCAAGTAATTCAAACATTTTTGCATCAACAAGTTGCTGTTACAGAAGAGAGCAGAGTCAGAGAAAATGCTTTATATTAATTAATAGCCTATTCAGACTGTGTAGGAAGTTTGGAAAATCACCTTAGCAATCTTTGGATCAGCCCATGGATGCCTCTTCCTAACGCTTCCCAACAACTCACCAACTAAAGATGAATGTAAATGATAAAAAGGAAAATTATAAAAAAAAAAAAAACTAAAATGCATGTCCACAAGAGAATAAGAGCCAAACATTTCACCAGATAACAACATATATCACAACAGATGGACTAGCATGAATTATAAAGCTGAAAGGGAAAATATGAATGTGTATCAGGCCGGTTACGCTATAAGCTTCTATGTCCACAATGTCTGTAAGCGTGCATGTGTAACATCAGCATGTCCTTATACACACACATTCAAGCTGGTTCTATGACTGTATGTTTCTCTAGGTGTATATGTTTGCAAGTGTTTTCTGATACTCTCTATGTGAGCATGTGTATAACAGTGAGAGAGCAAGAGAGAGAGATAACAAACCATTTGTTCGATAACGACGCTCAATAATTACAGATTTATTCTCCTCAAAAATTTCATTGACAGTGTGTTCAATTTCTTCCACAGAAACTTCAACTCCTGCTCATGAGTAGATAAGTAATCGAGATCAACAACATATGACAATAAAGAAAACTCAAGCTTAAACAAACCCACAGTTCTGCTGAAAGAAACACTAACAATAAACTTAGAAACAAACCAGAGTATCTAAAATTATCATTCATTGAAAGCATAAACAATCTTATCACGTACCAACGCCACATGCTTCTTCAAATTCACTCCGCTTAAAATCCTCTGATGCAACATTTGAAAGAAATGAAAATGCTGCTTCTAACTGAGCTGGAGTCTTTATCTGAAGAAATGCAATCGCATTAAATTTCAAAATACTAATAATAATAAAACCACAGCACCACAAATAATTTCTTCCTCTAATTAAGCTAATCACTATTGCCATAACACAGAATAGGTTGCAAACCTTAGAAGAGACGACATATTCAAGTAAATTTGGACGATGTAGAAGCGCATTCGCAGGGTACTTCGTGGCAACCTACGATAGATATATGGCAAAACTCATCTCGAATTCATTTTTCTGAAGATTTCAAACAAACAAAGAGAAATCAATGAAAAGAAAATCCGACCGTGTATAAAAGATTTCCAATCGTTCGGTCACATCCTTCAGTCAAAGCAGCCTGAAAATAAAAAAAAAAGAAAAGAAATTGAAATGAAAGAATTGCTATGATCTAACCAGTAAAAATCCAAAAAGAGTGAAATGTCGAAGCGTACCTCATGAATGACGGCCGTGAGATTAGCAGTGACCTTGTTGTTAGCGATGGTGTTACGAGCAGTTCGTTCGTCCAAACCAATCTTCACGAAGAGCTCTAAGGTTTTATCAGAGTTTTCGTCTTTGACTACCATTTTCTTAGAGTTTTTTTTTTCTTCTTTTGTGGTTTGGAAAGGAATATAAAGAGAGATTTTTCTTGGGGTTTGGATAAGATTAGAGTGTGGGAAGGAAGAGTGTAAGAGGCTGGCTGGCCGGCTGTGTAAGAAAGGGAATGAGTAAAATTGTAAACCCTAACTAGAAATAAATAGGAAAATGTAATCCAGGGTGCGTTTTTTGCGTGAGGTAAAGGGTGAGATTCCGTGGAAATGGAATCCGTTGGAAATTTTAAGTCACCACTCGGAAAGTACCTTGATATTTTAATTTAAATAAGGGAAATATCTTCTTTTCCTAAACGAAATCTTGCTTACTGGACACCGATCAATTTGGATCACAGACGAGGAAACTTCCAAAATGTCCCCGTAGCTCAAGGATAAAATTGTAAACTTCCAGAGCTCACGGCCACCGGGAGAATCTCAGGCGTTTGGTCGCGGGATTCGCCGTCTTGAGGGTTTCTAGGCAGGTTTGTGGCGGGGAAACGAGGAGGTCGTGGGTGTTTCACAGTGGAGGAGCACAACAGGGCGGGCGGTGGTGGGCGGAGGCTTGAGTTTGTAGAGAGAAGTAGGCGCTGGAGAGAGAAAGAGAAATTCGAACTTGAGAGCGAGAAAAAAGAACTAGGATTAGGTTAAGCCAGCCATAAACGACACCGTTTCAATGCAGTAAGAACAATTACAGGAGTGGACAAAGCCATGGTTTGAACTTTGGAGGACCGTGTCACATAAAACGACACCGTTTGGATAGTAACTGAAGTAAGCACATAGTTCCTCAAAAGGCGCCGTTTGTCCAGAAAGGGTAAAGAGCCTTGGGCAGGCCTAGTGAGGCCCGCACACTGCAGGCCCATGGTTTTTGATTGGGCAGTTGGGTCTCTTCACAACCCAAGTAGATTGTCCTGGTTAGCCCAACGCAGGTATGGGGCTTATTGTTCTTGTTTGTTTTATTTGTTTGTTAGTTATAATATATTATTAGATTAGGGTACGATTTTTTTTTTACCTCTCAAAAATAAGTTATTTTTAAAAATAATTATTTTTTTAATTTTAACTATTTTTAATCAAAAAAAATTTTAAATAAAATTATTCTTAATGAAATATCTTTATATTCAAATTACACGATCTGAAATTTGAATCAACTCAAAAATGACAATTGAAACAATTCCACCAAAAAAAATACAGCTACAACTACAAGCATGAGGAAGAAAAGAAGAACAAGAGGTGCGACCTTTGGAAGGGTTATTGAGACTATGCTTCAGTTTTACACAAATGAAGAACCAAGGCTAAAGATATCCCTAAATATCATGAGCATTGATTTCATTGCTTTTGTTGGCATCCTCCATGTCATAGGCAAGTTGAACTTTGTTTGTAAGAGGGCTTGAAAAGCATATTAACATTAGTGAAATCAATTTTCAATTTTACTTTGATGGATTCGATTTCTCTTTCTATTCTCTATAATACTAGTATATTTAAATTTTCTTTTACAAAAAAAAATAAAACAATCAAAAAATTAATTATCCAAATTAGAGGATTTTGGATAATATCTTTTTGTTCAAAACCATTTCATTCCAACAACGTTGAATAATTTTTCAATACATATTAATTTTCATGTCAAATTCCTTTTTTATTTTAAATTTTTATCTCTATCATGAAAGTGTTTAACTTCAAGACTTTTTATGTCCCAGTAAAATACAAAAATAGAGAATCAAGTTATACGTTATGTTTAAAAAATGTTGTTAATACATGCTATATCACTACAAAAAAAAACAGAATATTTCCGACATAAAAAATTTTGTTGAAAATTTTCCGTTGGAAATTTTCAATGGATTTCTAACAGAATTCCAACAAAAATTTATTTTGATTTTTTCTGACGGATTTCCAACAAAAATATTCCAATGGAATACTTCCATTGGAAATCCATTGTAGATATTTTTAGAGCAAAAAAAATTTACTCCCACCAAATTTTCAGACGGATTTCCGTTGAAATTTTCTTACAAAAATTTATCCGTCAGAAATCCGTTGGAAAGTTTAAAGTGGAAAACAATTTAAGGTTTGCCAAACTTTCCAATGGAATTTTCTGTTGGAAGAAGTTATTGCCAACGAAAATTTTCCAACGGAATATTTTGTTGAAAAATTCTGTCGGTAATAATATTTTTAAAATTTTTTATATAAAATAAATTAAGAATTTTATAAATTTTATTAATTATTTATAAAAATATATTAATAAAAGCAAATATATACATACCAAAGTTTATAATATTAAAAATTCAAATATGTTTTCCTTTATTTTTTTATATTTTTGAAAATTTTATTGAATCATAAATTACAAATTAATAGTTCCAAATTCATTAATTTTCTTAAATTAAAAAATTATAAAAAGAACATAATAAATTTTTAAATTTTATAAAAATAGATGATAAGATCAAATAATAAATTAAACAAAAAAAATTAATACTTTGTGTACGTAGTAATATTAGTTAGGGTAAATTAAAAAGAAAAATATATAATAAACTTATTAATATAATATATTTTAAATATATTAATTTATTATATGTGTGTATACAAATTAAAATCATAGCTGTGGAATACATACATATATATATATATATATATATATATATATCACTACAAGAAAATCGAGCAAATATGGTGTGAAAATTTTATCTTGACGTCAAAAATTAGTGACAAAATGCTATGACGAAAAGCATTAAAATATTAAAATTTCTTGTTTAATGACAAAATTAGTGACAAAATTATAAAAAAAATTTAATTTATGCAGTCGAGTATATAACATGTGGCCAATTTAAGTATAATTACAAATAATAAGTTAATGTAGGTAAAATGTCAATTATGGAACAAATCCCTTCAATTTTCATTTTGTTTTTTACTTACTTAACATCGTTGGGAAAATTTTGAATAATTTGATATAATTTAGAAATCGAATAAAAAAAAGTATATAGTTGAGATAAGAGATTTACAGCAAAAGATTTATACTACGAAAAGTGATGAAGTTCTTCAAAAAACTATCAATGTTTGAAATCTTTTATACAAGACAATTTGCAGTTAAAGCACCAAATTATGTTTAAGGTCAATTTAAATTTTGTGAATTATATAAATAGAAAAAAGAAAAACAAAAATAAAGGGTTGTTTTTTTTTCAATCTATTTATTGTGAATAACAAAAGAAGGCATTTGTACTAGAGTAGAAAAACAAATAGTTGTCTTTATTAATTTATAAGTAACGTTATATACTGAAGAGAATAACAGTAAGTAGCTATAAAATTGTAGCATTTAAGTAAATTATAAGATTATTGGGAATAACTCATTATGCATTACCAACATTCATGTATAAATCCCTTGCTTAGGATTGGGCTTTTTCCTTTTTACCTATCCCAATATCTAAAAATTATTAGTTAGACATTTGAAATGATAAAATTGAAAAAAAAAACTTAATTACTTTGAATTGATTACCATTCTTTCTTAACTAATTATTGTCTTATTAAATAAAGTCATACTTCCTAATAAAAAACTAAATCCAACTTTTTCAATTCAATTGAAGCCATTGTTACTCGACTAAAAGTTAGGGTATAAAAATTTGAGAATAATCAAATACGATGTTAACAAGAGGAAATCAATAATAGATTCTCTCTCCACATTTTTCACAGTTTTTGAAAATTTAAAACTACCCAAAGTACAATTTTTAGAATAGGAGTAGGAATTGCAAACAGTGAGATGACATTCTGACTATAAGATACATTGGTTTAAGGAATGTAGAGAAATTTGAGAATATCCAAATACAATTTTGAGAAGAGGAAGTCAATAATAGATTCTCTTCTCACAATTTTCATAGTTTTTGAAAATTTAAGATTGGAGAGAAAATTCTAACTGTATAGTATGTTGGGTTTAGGAAATGTTGAAGAAAGTGAATATTTGCCTGTGAGCAACAATGACTTCAATGGAACTCGAAAAGTTGGATTAAGTTTTTTTGTTAGGAAAAATGGCTTAAATTAAAAAGATTATAATTAATTAAGAAACGATGGTAATCAATTTGAAGTAATTAAATTTTTTTAATCTTTTTCAAATCCCTAATCACTAATTTTTGGACATTAATTTGAATAGGTAAAAAGAAAAAAAATCTAATTCTTAGTCAATAATTTTTTATACCATGTCATTCGTCATGTGACATTGATGTCATCAAGAAGACATGTAAACATGCCACATGGTAGATGGTGTGGCATAAAAAATTACTAAGTGTATTATTAACTAACTTTGATTAGTAAACAGCTAGTAAAAAGAGCTTATTTGATCCAAAATAAGAGTTTAGGGATTTAATTTAACATAATAAAAAGATAGAGACTAAATTCACTTTCTTGGTATAGTTTAAGGCCTTATTTGAGTATTTAATCATATTAATATTATGTTGTTGGTGGAGCCCTAAACATGCTTTTCTCAACTCAAAAATGTATTTTTGAAAATTGTTTATCATAATCTTTTGTTCAAGATACCATCCTAAGATAAACAAGAATATAAAATTTGAAATGCAAGAAGTTTTAGTTACCCAAGCAACCTCTATGGTTTCTTCTTAAACTTCTACGAATTTTTTATAATTTATTGAAAATATTAATTATTTTTAAACAAAATTTTATTTTGATTATTTAATTTTATTTTATTTATCTATTTTAATATTTTAATATAATAATTTATAATTTATTTAAAGTATTTATAATTTATAATTAAAAATTTCATTTTATTTTTTAATTTGAAATATTAATTTTTTATAATTTGTTTAAAATATTAATAATTTATAATTAAAAAATAATAATTTTTAATAATGATTTCATATTAATCTATTAATAGTTTCTAATTAATTTATTAATAAATTATTTTTTACAATTTTATAATTTATATTTAAAATATTAATACTTATAATTTTCTAAAATATTATTAACTTATTAATATATTTAGTATTAATTTAATATGAATTTATTAATAATTGATAGTTAAAATATTAATAATTTATTTATTTTTAGTTGTGTTCTTTTCTCTTATATTTTTCTTAATATTCTTTTTTTTTCATATTTTTCATATATCAAACAAAGTGCTCAAAATTTTCTTTTTATCAAACAACCAATTTTGTTGGGCTGTAGGATTGGTATATGGGTTTGTCATTCAATAATGTGGAATGAATAATGCAAAAGTCAAATATGCAGAGAACCATGGTTGTTAACATTGTAACAATACTTGTACATCGATCTTCTTACCAAGAACACAGTACTATATATAATGAGTCATAAAGAGGTGGTAATTGGACGAATCGGGTCAGTTCAAGTTTGTTATTTTATGTTTGAGTCATTTAGGTTTTGAATTTTATTGGGTTAGAGTCATTTTAGATTTGAGTTATTTTACAATTGTATTATTCGAGTTCGGATCTTTTGAATTCAAGTTACTTTGGATTCATATAAATTTGAATTCGAATCATTTTTAGTTTGGATTGTTGATTTTTCTTGAAAAAATCAGGTTGGATTGAGTTGAAATTTGTACGAATTGAAATAGATTTTCAGATTGATTGGCAGTATGTTCACAAATATGGATGGTTCAACATA